AACTGAACCAGTATAAAATGCTCATTTTTTACTCTTACAAAAGGACTTCCTACCATAACTTAATACCACAACACAGAAAGAACAGTACAATACATGTTACTAAGCTGATCAGGCTCGAGGTTCTTTTGCAATTACTCACTAGGGCTACACTCAGCTAACGCATTGAAGTCGGCGTGAGTGAGGTTAAAACACAATTTGACTTTAGCAGTGTCTTACCTTTTGCTGACGAAACCTTTCAACGTAACGTATGCAAAACGCTTGAAAACATACACTGTAACATGGAACATAACAATATCTTCAAACTTACTGTTATTAATAGAACTACATAGCATCAAAATTTATGTACCATTCCGCCAACAAACGTTCTCTTGCGCGCATGACATATTTTGTTTGGTTTCGGCTACCATCGTACTCACTCGTTAACTTCCGGGAGTTTGAATATTAAATTGTACAGAAGCCTTGGAGCGACACATAAATTTAATTTTTAAAAATTCTGTCGAATTGATAATTAAACCTACATTTGTAAAACCATAGCTTGCGAAGTGAAAAGTAAGTCACTTCAAATTATAAGATAGTTTCCGTTTGCAAGATATGTGTAATACATATGAATTGAAATGAATATTTTTCGCGAGGGACATAAGATCTTAAGAAATAATTGTAGAGTTTTAGTTATAACGTATTATACTGTTATTTTAAAGTAATTAAGCAAATAATTTAATGATGACAAAAATATCACAAGTCTGTTTTACCAACCTACAAATGTGAATAAGCACGAAATGGCGATGTCGTGAATCCCAGCTAAGCATTTGATTTATGTCAGTGTTTTATTCATTATTGATTGATTTAATGTGGTTCAAACACAATAAAAATTATTTAAAGTAATCAAAATATAAATATGAATGTGGAACAAGGGGAGCTTGGGGTAAAGTGATAGGCGTGGCTTAATGACTAGAACTTTCTTGAAAGTTTTGAATACGATTTGACTCGTATGAAGCGCAAGTGAGACAAGAGTGTACGAGGATTTATTTGTGAGTCTGTTACAGTGGACGATTGGTAACTAAGTTTGCAAGTTTAGTGAGCCATTTTGTCTGTTACTGTCAGCAAGTTAATCAGTACTTCAGTTTTGTACATTTTGAGTTTTATTTGCGACGAAGTAATAACAATATGAGAAAATGCTGAACGTACGAGAGAAGTTAACAAGTAAGTGAAACATTTTTTAGCATCTACTGTGAACTTAGACCTGTCAGTGAGCATTACTTAACGAAACTTGTAGAAATGTAGTTCAAAAAATAAAATGCTTTCCTTATCATTAAGTGAATATGACTTTGTATTCTGCTTTTAACCAAATAACCACAAAAACCTGCTCAACAATAGAAACCGGTACAACATTCCTTCAACTGTTGTTGTGTACAAGCTCGTCGAAAACTGGGATAGGGCCCGGGAGTTTGGGGGCAAAGCTCTCAGTAATAAAGAAAAGGCAAAAATATAACACATATTTTATGTATGAATTCACTCAGTTTTACGTTTTTGTAATTTTATTTTACATTACTACACTTTTTATGGACCCCCTATCTAACTTTAGAGACCCCACCCTTGAGGGCCTTAGGGAAGTTTCCACAGCTCTCCTGCCCTCTCGATGGGCCTTGTTGTGTACTCAACTTTTAACTGAATTCTTTTAAAATTGTCAGTTATTTTCAGATTTGTTGAGAAATGAAAACTTTTATTTAGTAGAAACACCGATTAAATTGTAACTAAATTACTTGTTTAATTTTTTAATGTACAAAAAACTTGCTGAAGTCACACTCCTATACATTACACAAAACAGCCATGGTTACGATTAAGCATATTCGGCTCGATTTTAACAACTTAAGTTGAAGTGTACTCACACTCGTTGTTAAGTCCATATAGTGATTCACTAATTTTCACAAGTACTTTCAATCTTTTTACTTGTCATCCATGCTGAGTGAACTTGTGTCCCCTGGTGGAACAACGGTAAGCCTACGGTCTTACAACGCTAAAATCCGAGGTTCGAATCCCCGCGGATATTCCAATATGACTTTGCTCTAAAACAAGTAAAGTGAGTCAGCTTGGAGTCTGGTAACCATTTAGTTATAAAAACCTAGATATATCCTAGCACTTTCTCTTACTTGATATTTTATAACATTCTGATTCAAAAATTAGAAATATATTTTCGGTCCAGCGTTTAAGTCAAACTTAACATCATTAAAATGTTACGTCAAATAATCCCACTTATCGAAAAAAATGTGTAATAATCCATAATCATACAGAGAGAACAAAGTACAGCAACATGCGGTTTGGTTGTTTGTAATTAAGCACAAAGCTACACAATGGGCTATCTGTACTCTGCCCACCACGGGTATCGAAACCAGGTTTCTAGCGTTGTAAATCTGCAGACCTATCGCTGTGTCACTGGGGGGCGCAACATGCGGTGCTACTGTACAATAATAGTAGCTTTTAAAAATATTCCAGCATATTAAACCACATATTTTTAGTGATAATATGTGTGTGTGTTATATTAGATCTCCATAAAATTAATAATAAATCAGTTTAAAAAGTCAAATAATTATTTTACTGGCCCAATATAGGCTTCCTGTAAGAAGAATGTTTAATTTCAACATAATCTTGTAATTTAATGTATTCTTACGACAGCGGAAGTCACGTGAATCTGGTAACACGTGATGAGTTTCTAGAAGGATCGGGGAACATTACGAATAATCCAGTATTTGCTAGTCGCCCTGTATTTTAGTATATAAGCCAGCAAATAAAGTGATAGCAAGAACTGAATTGCAGACAGAGAGATATAGAGACAGATAATCGAGTCAAGCCGGGAGAAAAGTGCGTGAATCGTTGTGAATTCTAGCGTGTGTTTAAGTGAAAGTGACTTGGAAATTAAGTGTATTGCAAAGTTGTATTGAGAGAGAATAGAATAGTTTTATTTAAGAAAGGACTTGTATCGCTGAAGTTTCCCGGGAAGCATTTCTACTGGAAATTAACAAACGAACAGTATTGTTACGTATCTGCTTGTTTGATAATTTCCCGTAAAAATTCTTTCCGAGAAACTTCAGCAATACAAGTCCTTTCTTAGTTAAAACTATTTCATTTTTCTCGTTACAAACTTTGTAATACACTTAATTTCCACAGTCACTTTAAACTTAACTACTTTTATAAACACACACTATAATTCACAGCGATTCACACACTTTACGTACGGTGCCTACTGCTCGCTTGCCTCGATTATCTCAATTATTTCTCTTCAATCTATCTCCGGCTTATATACTAAAAAAGAGGGCGTCTAGCAAACGCTGGAACATTCGTGAAGTTGTCCGCTAAATCACGATCCTTCTAGAAACTCCAGCTCGCATGCTAACAGCGTCGCATGACATCCGCTGTTGTAACAGTGTTATTAGCCATATTGCAATATATCATTCACATAATACTACTAAATGTCACACACACTGCTACCCAAGGCATTCAACACTCTTACAAGTAATTGTGCTTCAAATATTTTAAAATTTCTGTTGGTAGTTCATAAAGAGAATTTAGAAAAAAAGAAGTTATGGACGATAATTAACGCTAAAGAATGTTTTATACCCAACTAAAATGTTTTCCATGTTAATATTCTTTGAGCTTAATGGTATTGGCATTTGTGTAATTTCGTAGGCACAATATATTGTATTAGTTACCATTATCTCTCAATCTGAATAATGGAATTTACAGGGTTAATTCTAGTAGACTGAATTAATATTAATTTTACAATAAAAGATACGTAGCAAGCTAAAAAGAAATAATATCTTTATGAAAAACATATCCCAAACTCGAGGTTAAATCTTAATTTTTATGTTTCAAACTAGCCTATGATTTATTATGACATTATTTGAAATTAGTAAAGTTTAATCGTGATTTGTTTACAAACTGTATAAAAACTAGAAACTGATCTGGACCAACAGCTTTATTCATGATTTATTTACAAACTGTTTATAAACTGTGAATTGATCTGAACCAACAGACAAGTTTCTAAACCATAAAAACAAGAAAATCGTTAAGATTTATTTAGCAGAATTGTAATCAAGTTCGACTCAACCAAGAAATGAACGAGACTGAGATAAAATGTTCAACAGGCAAAATGCTATATTGAACAAAATAAACCACCCAATTTGGCACATGAATTTAGGTTTACAAAAATGTTAAAGCACAAACACATTACTCTTTTACTTTCAGGTCAGCTTTCTATTTATTGACTATTGTATAAACATCTTGAACAAAAAAAGGACGAAAGAAGATCTGAGTGAGAATTAACTCTACTTAGAATTATATTACGATTCTAAGCAGCCACTGAGACTTTCCTGATGCCACATCACTCACGTCTCTGGGTAAGCCTTATTAACAGAAATAGAAAACCAAAGTTTACCATTATTCTATCTACACATATAACCAATATGCTAAAAGACTCATTAAAACAGGATTACTAATTACCCAACAAATCGACCAGGTGTGTGAACACAAATAATTCTGAAGCACAGTCTAAAAAAGATGTGTGATATAATAAAGTGCAAGATTAGGGCTATTCAAGGTTGGATACATTCTGTTCAGATAGAACTTGCAACTCTATAAGGAAACCTGTATTTAATTTTAAATTTTCATAAATATAAATATATTCGTATACTATGTTACAGAGGAATTTACTTCATAATATTTTATATAGAACAAAACAAACATTTTGTGTTTGCTAAAACTATATTATAGTACATTAAAAAAATATGCTCATTAGCAGTTTAAGATTGTATCTTAGGTTTTAGTGATTATATCGTTAATTTTTTTACTTATTAGTACCGTATGTAGGAATAAAACGTCATATATATAATTGAATTGGAATTAAGGCAAAATTGTGTCTCGAATCCCCAAACCCTTCGAAACCACTTTTATTCTTCATTAATTAATTTATAAACACTCCGACAGGTGTCAGAAACTACAAGCCGCGTTACTTTGCATCCGGGTGTTTTCGTTTTGTGTGAGGCTGTGAAGCGGTAAAGGTAATATTGTGTAAGAAAATGGCGGGGAATAATTACTATGGGTTTACAGTCGGCGGAACTCAATATGGGTAGGTATGACATCACTGATGATAGTTGATTTATATTATACAAATGTGTCTTAATAAAATAAAGAGGTGGTATAGAATGTGGGGTGAGTTTTTCAGGTTAAAAAATGTGATTAATGTCATGGTGAAGCCTCACCTTTCACTGAGGAAAGCAGTTTCAAAACTCAAACCGAGTCAAACTGAAATTTTCAAAGTACAAACTTGGTCTTGGTGTGTTCACGAAACCGCACTAACGTTAGTTGTTATTTGCAAGGCTAATATATTTTATGTTTATAATTAAATACATTTTTTTTGCACAACATAAAACACTATTAAGTTCGTAAGGTTAAAAATGGAACCACGAGAAAGACCTCTCTGTTGCTCAAAACACATGATCCAACACGATCATTAGTATTATTATTAATAGTTATAGTATTATTTATTATTAATGATGTGATTTTCACAGGTCTCGAAATTGGTTTCCAAACTAAATGTAATACTGACAAATATTCTACTATAGTTTTAACAGTATTCATCCTTGTGAAAATATACCTGGATCATAGAATTAGTGATTATTGACCCTTAAATTCTAAATTTATTCTTTATGTGGCACATAATTTTCTTTTCACGTTTGGTGCAAGTTCTTTATTTTTATCCCAGTATATTAATATTATTTATAATTTTTGTGTTTTTTTTGTATTGTTCTTTATACTTAATATTTTCATGGTAATCAGTTTTCATATATTTTATTTTACTCTGTTATTTCTTGTTATCCTCAACCTGTAACATGGCACAAAACTTGTATGGAAATTTATGCAATTGAATGTTACACCTGATGGACCAATATTTTTAAAGTT